ATGTAATATATATTATAAAGTGTATATATATACATATATATAAAGTACATGTATAGTATATCAAAGAGGATTTTATAGAAATTTAATGTGAAATTAAATGTGCTTTTCCATACGGAGTAAAGCTAAGCCTGAAAATCATGAAATATGGGTTTAAGGGTACCATGACTTTATATGTATCTATATTCAGTCCATTTGAAGTTTTAAAAATCAATATACTCTACTTGTGTGTTTTAAAACAAAAAAAATCAAGAGTGAAGTTATTTTAAAATGTTACAGTTTTGAAGATTTTATGAGTCATCTAAAATTATATAATGCAAATATGAAATTTGGAAACATGACTTTTACTTAGAGTTGCAGGAATACATGAATCCATTTTTATTTCCTCCCTAACTCCTCTTAAAAATCAAAGTTATAAAAACAATAAAAATACGAATGTACAAAAGGTGTGCTGGGGGGATAAAAGAGAGAAAAGAGATGCTAAACATTTTTGGACTATAAATAAAGACTGAGTAATTCACACTGCTGGATAACGTCAAATCAGGTGTTTTCTAATAGAAGCATGGCAAATTACAAGAATGAACCTAAGAAACCCACCTAAGAATGTGAGATATGGCAGAAAATAAGGATGTGATTGCTGAAATATTATAGATTAAAAATAAAATGCTTAAATACCAAATCAGTTTAAATTATCTATATTAAATGCAAACAGATTCTAGAGGACTTCTCATTCAGTACGCCCTTTCCTCCATGACCAAAGATCATTCCATGAAAAATTTAAACTAGAGTGTCACCAAAATCTGAGATACCAGACTCTTTATAGGACAAAAGCTCTGTAGAAAAATCAGAGAGGTAAAGCAAAACTCTACATTAGGAACACCATTTCTCTCAGACCTTATGAATATGATTAGTCACGAATAATCACTTCTACCTCTTATCATAATGTACAATGTTGTTGAATATTTCTCCAGAGGATCTTTAAAGAGGGCCAATAGAAGTTTATCATGAAGGGAGATCTACCAAAAAATGACAACATTCACAGGGTTATGGGAACCAATCAGTTATTACTGGTTTGTGAGAAATAACTGTTTAATTTTCAGGAATTTTGGGAAACATTTGGAGTCAAGATGGTAGCTTGAAGCCAATCATTGTGGAAGTATTTACAATGAAAATCACGCATCCAATACAAATCAGGGTTTTATCCTCCCTGAAGAGTCGTCATTTGTTAATATTTTTAGTATATCATATGCAACATGTTGTTTTGAAACACGTATGCATCGTGTAATGGCTAAATAAAGCTAATTAATGTGCATTACCAAACAGATTCAGACACCCTTTTTGGGTGTTATGAGAACACTTACAATCTACTTTCTAAGCAATTTTCAACATTATAGTACATCCTTATTATCAATAGTCTTTATGTTGTACAATAGATCTTTTGATATTATTATCCAACTAAATTTTTGAACCTTTGACCAGCATCTCCCAAACAACACCAGTTTTCCTTATCTAGCCCCAGACAAATTTTTATCAGTATACCACTGACTGCCTCTCTAACTGGTTATTACTTCCTGGTTAATCATTTGATAAGGGGCTGGGCATGTGATTCACATACATGAAGCCCTGGGTTCAAACGCCAGCATATACATATGGTAAGCCACACACACATATTTTGGTATTTTACTCTGCATTGATCATTTTTCCTTTACTATAAGAAATAATGAGATGATGAGATTATAGGTTTATTTTGGCTCATGGTTTCAAAGGTTTGGTGCATCATGGCTGGAATGTATGGTGGAGCAAAATCACTTACCTCCTCACCCAGAAGCAAAGGAGAGACAGAGGAAAACTTAGAGCTCCACATCTCCTTCAAGGGCAGACCCCAAAGGCCTAACAGTCTCCCAGTAGGCTCCGCCTCCTAAAAGTCCCACTATATCCCAACAGCACTACTCTGACCACAAAGCCTTTAACATAAAAGCATTTGGGGAAAATTTGAAATACAAACCATATCATGCTGTTAAGTATGAGCAAATATCCATGATCCTTTGTAATCGGAGGAAACTCCTTCAGAAATTCAGACTGGTAGAAAAAACAGAATTTCTAATTACAGTTAAAATTTTCCAAAAAAAAAAAAGAAATGAAAATATATAAAGAAAAATATAAGTGTGAAAAACATTAAAGAACACACAGAAAGCAAGACAGAGTTTTTGAAATCTGATAACTGAAATTAAAAAAAGCCAATAAATGGACTATTAGATGCATTTGAAGAAATATCCCAGGAAGTACACCTAAATGTCAGGGGTAATTAAGACATGACTCCAGGGAATGCATCCTCTGACTAATAAGAGGGAACAAAGCACAGGCAGGGCTGAAAAACATCAGAGATAGCACAACTAAAATACCCAGAACTCTAAAACATGACTTTTCTTTGGAAAGGTTCACAGCAATAAATGAAACACATACATATACACATGACAAGGCATAGCACATAAATTTTCAGTGCTGTAGAAATAAGAAGAAAAAGAAAACAAATCTCTCTAAACTTGAGGAATGGAGGGCATAGGTTATATGAATAATTAAAAGAAAATATGAGTACAGTTTTTTAACTGCAGTTCTGGAAGTTAGAAGAAAGTAGAGTGATGTCATCATAATTTTTAAAGAAAATTGTGTTTTATATCATTCCAGACACAACCCAACTACTATCTGAACAGAGGTTAAGCATTTTAGATAGATGATATCTAAAAATATATTTACTACAAATCCTAATGAGCTAAAAACATAAAAAAGCAAACCCAGAAAAGGGGTATTCTGTCCAGAAAAGAAAAAAAATCCTACCCAGGAAAGAATGAATGGAATATTCTAGAAAGAAAGACAAAGCAGCTAACCTCAAATAATAAAGAGAACAGTTCCAAAAGGAATCAGGTCAATATTTGATAAATCAAGGAATAATATTATATTTACAAATAATGTTATATCATTACAAATAATGCTATATCATTTAGAATTATGGAGCTAAACAGCAGAAGACAGAAATAATATCAGTTGCAAATACTTGCCTCTATGGTTTGAGAGTGGGAACAAATAGGAAAGAGACATTTGTTTTCATTATAAGACCTGAAGAATTTTTTATTTCTAAAATAGATTTGTGAATCCTTTCACCAAAAATAAAACAAAATATTAATATCAGAATTCCACACCCATTTCTAAGTAAAACAACCTATGTTCCATTAATGATACATAAGGATAAAAGAGATACATCAGGGATATAGTATGGCATTCTCTGAAATTTGTACTTATTCTGAATCGGATCTTTGTTGCACCCTTACCATGGAACTGTGTAAAGTGAATACACAGTTCTAGTATACATGAGTTTCCATTATCATGGTACCATGCAAATCAGACTGCACTCACCAGTTTGAATAAATCATGTTTGGAAATTATTCATCATTATGGTTTAACTAATATTATATAAACATTTGTTTTTCTCCTTAATTCATGTGAACAGCAGTTTTAGAAATTTCTTTTGGAAATAAATTCCTTTAAGAATGTATAGGTCTTAGAAAAGGAACCATGTTAGATATATTTTGAGAAAGACTTCTAGAAGATTCCCGCTTTATCACTGGTACCAAAATATCTTTCTTTCAGGAATCTGCTGCATACAGTCCTCAGTAAAAACAGAGTACTTAGAAGTGCATTGGTGTGTGAAAATCAATTAAAAGCACAACTAAAATTTCAGAATTTTCTTTAATTTTGTTCCAGTTTTAGATGAGGGTTCAGGTCAATTCTTACTTCATCCCTATCAGTTCATCCATCATAAATTATAATTACCTTTATTCTAGCCCTTAATTACTTTTGCCAATAATCTATATAATATCCAAGATGATTTAAATAGTATTATCTAAAAGAAAATGTTTCATTCAGAGTGATTATTCAGTAAAGTTGATAACCACATTGTTTTCCCTACAGGAAAGGGGTACTTGTTCAGGATAAAGGGTTTTAACAGAAGCACAGGAAAAAAAACCCATGCTTCATTGATATAAAAATGCTGAAACCCATTACATTTCATTAAATAGGGTACATATGTGTGTGTGTAAGTGTGTGTGTGTGTGTGTGTATACACACAAATATGTATTTATACACATATATGTATATACACATATATGTATATACACACGTAAGCAAATATGAATAAATTGATCAATATTGAATTCACATATTTTAAAAATATTATTCTTATGTTTTATAAAATAGTTACATTTTATGAATCCTTGTTACCTTTTTAATCAATTTTAATATGGAGTTTAAGAGTAATAGAAATACGATAATGTTTACAAATATGTACATCTCTGTCAATGCCACCATAATTGGTATATAGAACACTTCAAATTCATGTTGATTGTAGTCAACCACATTTCTGTCCACCCAAGCAACCATTGTTCTTCTACACTGTCATTATAGATTGTTTTGCCTGATCTAGAATATCATGTAAATGGAATCATAAAACATGCACTCTTTTTACTTCTGACTTCATAGTTGAACCCAATGCTTTTGAGGCTCATTTATGTTGTTGCCTGTATCAACAGTTCATTCTCTTTTGTTTGTGGACATTTGTGTTTTGATTTTCAGTAACCATAAATACAATGCAATGCATATCTGTATACAAGTTTGCATGTGGATACATTTTTAAATTTCTTTTATATACCGAGGAGTAATATTAATGGATCATATGATGAATGTATGTTTAACTTTCTAAGAAATTGTCCATCTTATTTCCAAAGTAGATGTTTTCATTTTACATTCCCATCTATAGCATATGAGAATTCTGGTTGCCTCTCATTCTTGCCAGTCCTTGTTACTGTTAGTATTTTAAATTTTAGCCTTTCTAATGTGTTTCATGGTAAGTCACTGAGGTTTTAATGTACACTTTTCTAATGAATGCTGATGACTAATGATATTTAGCATCATGTTATATATTTACTGGCCATCTGTTTACTTTTTTTTAGACTTGGTTCTGGGGATTTAACCACTACGAGGAATTTACCACTGAGCTACAGCTCCAAGCCTTTTAATTTTTTATTTTGAGACAGAGTCTCACTAAGTTCCATAGGATTTCACAGTGTTGCTGAGACTGACCTTGAACTTGTGATTATCCTATCTCAGACTTTCAACCTTCTGGGATTATAGGTATGTGCCACTATATATTTTAGATAAAGTAATTGTTCAAATTGTTTGTACATTTAAAAAATTAAGTTGTTTATTTCTTACCATTGAATTATAAGACTTCTTCAACTTGTATCCATAGATACTTGGATATAATTTTGTTCTCAGTGTATATGCTGCTATCAATTTCTTCCTGTCTCTGACATGCCATTTTATTTTCTTAAAAATATATTTTTGAAGAGATGAGTTTAATGTTTAGAAGCCTGACAAATAATTTTTTTTTTCTTTACGTTTAGTACTGTCACTGTCTTCTTTAAGAAATCTGGCTAACCCAAGCAAAGATATTATTATTTTTTTTCCATGCAATAATAGTTTTATAATTTCTATTTTCAAAGTATATTTTCTCGCTCGTGGTTCCTATCTTGGCATCCTGGAGACTCATGCATGCATAGACCACTTCATATTCAGCCAAAGACTTGAGGGGACATCAGTGCTGGTGTCTGGAGCCTTGACTCTAGGTCACTCCATTTTTTCCAGACTCTGATCCACAATGTCTGGCCCTCTCTGTCTCCATGCACTTCAATCTTTTTCTCTTCCACTTGGCTCTGTTTGAGGTCTCCCTCCCAGTGCCATAATCTTGAAAGGGCCTAAAGGTAGAAAGCTTGTAGTCCAAATTTTATAATTCTCATCCCTTTAGGATCATAGTCTGAAAACAGTTGTTCCGTATATTCTGTCCAGTTTCTTAAATTGTTCACAGTGGGAAGACAGGTCTGGTTCCAGTCACTCAGTCATGGCTACAAGTGGGAATCCTGTTATGATTTTTGACCACTCAGACAGGTGGGCTCCCAAATAAAACATATAAAACCTATGTTAGGGTAACCAACAAATATTCAAAATCACTGGATTTTCCCCAAATTTTACATTCTTAAATGAGAACCAGCAGTAGGAGGAGGAAACTGTGAACATGGTGGAGAGTTCAGAATATTTTCCAGGTAAGTTATTAAAAACATTAAAGGTTAAGACATTTATATTTCAAGAAAAGGTATTGAGTCATTATGTCTAATAAACCCACGGGGATTCTAATATGTGCAATATTACCAGGGAGCAATTTACTTGCTCTCCAAATAGTATCAGCATCATTTATAAACTTTCTAGCATTAGTCAACACTGTTATAACAGAGATATTAGGGCTGGAATGTGTTATTAGTTCTCCTTCACATGACATAGGATGGCATCCTGGAGTTACCAGAAGATGCGAGGCAGGGTTGTTGCTTCTGCTTTAAAGAAATTTTAAAAGCCTGAAATGCAAAGGAGAATTGATTTTAGTGAGGGGGAAAAAGGAGAATAGTATAAGAAGATTTTCCACATATGTACTTGTGGCTGCCTGCTTATTCATGTGATTTGGATGAATTAATCAGTTTCTTTAAATTTACCAGCCAATTTAATCTAACACCTGTTTTGACTACTTTCTTCTCCCTCAAATTTGACTGTGAGAATCCAAGGATAGTTTGTAACATTATGCAGAGATGGTTGAATTTTTTTCAGCCTTAGATTGCATCCAATCTACTCTATTTTTTTTCTCATTTGCATTCTCCAGTCCACTCAGTTAATTTATCCTCTTTGCAAGTGTGTGAACTTTTCCAGCCATTATTGTTACATGAGAGCAATGGAGTATTCACCAAATGCTCTTCCAAATATCCATTGTTCCTTTTTGTCTAAATTTACCAACACTAAATATAATTATCTATTGTGATGACCAGCATCAGTGAAGAGCTTATAGTGAGATAGCAGTAATAATTACCTTTCATTGCATTTTTTGCTTTTGCTGGGTGCTTTGGTACATTATTTGTCTTGGGAAGTAAACATCATTAATTCACATTTACAGTTGAGTATTTGGATATCAGAAAGGTTAAATAACATATCCTAAGTCACACAGCTACTAAGTGGATGACGACAGAATTCAAATTCAGATTTACCCCAGGTCTCTGGAATTTGTACCACATTACCCCTATTTTTAGCTGAGATTTCTGAATATAACTTGATTCTAGTAAATTATCTTAAAGGGTGTAAGAGGTTTCCATAAAAAAGCTATCAACCATTGTATGTAGGACATGTTTTTTTTCAATACTTGAAGTGGTAGCTCTTAGTGATATAGAGATGCTTCTCCATCTTATACAGCACATGGAAGGAGAAAGAGGAGTCAGTTCACTTTCAACTCCACTATGCCTCAGAGTTGTCCCCCAGATCCTCTCACACATCAGCTCTACCTTCTAACTACATTAATATTTGGGACTGTATGCTCCAAGTTGTGGATTGTAGTTGCCAGTCAATAAATATTACACATAACACCAGTAGAAGTTTAATTTTACTAAAATATACTTTGTCTTTTTTGTTATTTTTGCCTCAGCTAAGGGGTGACTTTCATATCATTTTACTATGTTAAAATAGAAGAAACATATTAGCCTATTGACAGTGGTTTTGTTGTTAGAGGGGCTACTGTGACTTTGGACAAGTAATTCAATATTCTTTATTTTCAAATATGAAGGTAATAATTTTCTAACTCCACCTGAATGATGTGACTTAGTGACTCAAATGATGAGGAATTTATTTAATAGAGTTTGGAAGATATAAGTGAATCTAGATATCATGGTTACCTCAGAATGTGTAGAATCTGAGGGCCTCGTTTATGTAAGGAATCTGAATAGAAAATATGTATTAGGCAAGTCATAGGTCTGTGAGAGAAATGATAGTTTATAAGGAAGATAGTAATTGGTGGAGAAGTAGGACTTAGGTCGTGTTTGCTTGATTGTTCTGGGATGGAGCTGAACTCAACTGTTCCATTTGATTAGCAGGGTTCATGATGAATACTTCAGGTATCCAGGCAGCTTCATTCCAATGTTCTTTACTGTAATAGACACCATTGCTGGATAATTTCATATTCTCTACCTACAGAAAAAGGTAGGAAAAGTAATCTTTAAAAACGATGTTTTACCAGGCCCTGTGGTGCACCTTTATAATTGCAGTGAAGCAGAGGCTGGAGGTTTAAGGCCAATGTCAGCAATTTGGTGAGACCCCACCTCCAAATAAAATAAAAAGAACCAGGAGTGTGGCATCATGCCAGAGGGCCTCTGGATTCAATCCCTAGTATAAACATTGCAAAAATAGATAGATAGATAGATAGATAGATAGATAGATAGATAGATAGATAGATAGATAGATAGATAAAAGCTATTTTCTTCAGCACTTATTGTTGAAACAATGTGGATCTTCTTGCCTCTGAAGTTCCCTAATCTTAAATGGAAGCTTACAATGACTCACTCACTCAAATGCTGAGACTTCCCTACCTTGAAAATGACTACATTCAGGGAAATATGAATGGAGTTTTAACTCATTATTTGAAGTGTTTTGGGGAGAACCGGTACCAGGGATTGAACTCAGGAGCACTAGACCAATGAGCCACATCCCTAGCATTATTTTGTATTTGTTTTAGAGACCGGGTCTCACTGAGTTGCTTAGCACCTTGCCATTGCTAAGGCTAGCTTTGAACTCACAATTCTCCTGCCTCAGCCTCCTGAGCCACTGGGATGACAGGCGTATGCCACCGTGCCTGGCATCATTTAAAGTTTACCAGTCAAAATTTTATAACGTAAGTTTAGAAAACCTCATCTTTCAGCCATGCACTCTTTCAACCCTTGGACTTTTTAGGTTGCTGTTACAAAATTCCATAAATGGTAGCACACCACCACCAACATGGAAAATAGGTGAGGTGCCCGTGGTCCAGCAAGAAGGGCAGTGCTTTCTCAAGGAGTGTTCATTTCTGTCCAGCTGGGGGAGAGCACAATGTTACCACAATTTGGTTATGAAAAGATGTCCTAACACAATGTGCAGAGCCTGGAAAGGGGTGGATCACTGTGCTGAATACTAGTAGCACAGCTTACAGGATAAAGATGGTGATTCTCTGGTGCTTTTTCTAGGAGTTGGTGCCTGATGGCAATGTGAGTGGTTGTGAGCATGAGCCATAACCTGATACAACCCAAGATCTGGCCAGGCACCTTAAGTAGCCAGGAGCCCTGAACCCTTGTGGGTATGAGTCACTCAATGTTGGTGTTTCAGCCCCATTTTGGTGGGTTAAGATTTGTAAATTTTATTGCAGAGCTGGGCAATGGCATGACCCCATAGACATGAGTCCAGGGGCTCAAGATGACATATACCCTACCCAAATGCAAGTAGAGGTCAGAGTGTTCTGGAAGAAAATAAATGTATCCATATGACAGGTATGTCTATTACAGGGCTCTGTACACCATACTGAGAAAGCACTTTTGCTCTGCCCACAACCAGCTACAGAAAGAGGGACTCAGAAAATTTGGAGGTAAGTTCTTCAGGAGATCAAGACCCATGCAGGACTAGATCTGAGCTTCATCCACACAGTGCTGACCTGGAATTCCTTATCACCAGAGAAGAATTTCCAAGCAGGGGGGACCCTACTGCATAAACTAAAGGTAGATACAGAAATCCAAGTCCAAAAATCTTAAGGGAACAGAATCAAATCACCTTCTCCAAGTGAGTAAGTAATCCTGCCCATCACAGGCTACTAGAAAGCATGCTCAAGAGTAACCTAACAGGAACTAATTTTCACTCTCTTTCCTCCACTTCTAGTCTTTCCACCACATTCAGGGAGAGAATGTATGGGAAAGAAAGGGTGCTCAATTTGTATAGGTAACATTCATATAAACACTAAATATGATTTTCATACATCAAGTTTGTTTGTTGATCACCATGACGGGGTCCAGAAGAACCTTGAAAATGCCAGTCACATCAGCCACACTGATAACATGGTTTCCAAGAATAGGGAAGCATTGGAAATGCTCATATATCTGGACTATTTTCATTGATGTAATTTTATCCAACATTTACTTTTTCCTTTATCTTATACTTAATTTATCCTGAATCAAGCTTTGTAAATAATAGAAGGGGGACATAACAATGGGGAAAACAAATGAAATGTTATCGGACAGCTGATACTTAGGATTTCTTGTTTCCACCATTATAACAGGGTTCCATATGCTAAGTATGACAATACTACAATAAGATTGCATGCCTTAAGACACCCCTTAATTTCTGCTTTAAATTCAGACTTTTAAGCATCCTAGCACAATTAGCTTTGAATCATAAACTTGTAACAGTGAAATTAGAATTTTTGTCATTTGGGAGGATATTAATTTTCTGTGAACTTGGATTGACTTTAAGTGTGTGCTTCAGACATAAATGATAGAGGTAGAAATTAAGAGTCTTTGTCAAAATGATTTCAGATTTTTTTTTAACTTCTCTTTCAGGACTTGTTTTTCTTTTTCTCTATTACATTTATTTATTTGTTTATGTTAATCAGTTACATATGACAGCAGAATACATTTTGATTCATTGTGCACAAACGGAGCACAACTTCTCATTGCTCTGGTTGTAGTCACACCATACGTTCAATCATACATATACCTAGGGTAATAATGTCTGCCTCATTCCATCATGTTTCCTGCCCCCATGCCCTCTTCTCTCCCCTCTTTCCCCTTTGCCCAAAGTTCCTCTATTCTTCCTATGCCCAACTGGATTATGAATCAGCCTCCACTTATCAGAGAGAACATTCAGCCTTTTTTGTTTTTTGTGGATTGGCTTACTTCGCTTAGCATGATATTCTCTAAGTCCAACCATTTACCTTCATATGCCATAATTTTATTCTCTTTTAATGCCGAGTAATATTCCATTGGGTGTTATGTATCACAGTTTCTTTATCCATTCATCTGTTGAAGAGCATCTAGGTTTGTTCCACAGTTTAGCTATTGTAAATTGAGCTGCTATGAACATTGATGTGGCTGTGTCACTATAGTATGCTGATTTTAAATCCTTTGGGTATAAACTGAGGAGCAGAATAGCTGAGTCAAATGGTGGTTTGATTTTCAAGTTTTCTAGGGACACTTCATACTGCTGTCCAGATTGGCTGTACCAATTTGCAGTCTGATCAGAAATACATGAGTGTACCTTTGTCTTCACATCCTTGACAACGGTTATTATTACTTGTATTTTTGATAATTGCCATACTGACTGGAGTGAGATGAAATATTAGAGTAGTTTTGATTTGCATTTCTTTAATTACTAGAGAAGTTCAACATTTTTTCATATATTTGTTGATGAATTGTATACCTTCTTCTGAGAAGTGTCTGTTCAGCTCCTTAGCTCATTTATTGATTGGGTAGTTTGTTTTTTTTGGTGTTAAGTTTTTTGACTTCTTTATTATATCCTGGAGATTAGTGCTTTCTCTGATGTGTGTGTGGCAAAAATTTGCTCCCAAAATGTAGGCTCTCTCTTCACCTCATTGTTTGTTTGTTTTGCTGAAAAGAAGCTTTTTAGTTTGAATCAATCCCATTTATTGATTCTTGATTTTATTTCCTGCACTTTAGGAGTCTTGTTAAGGAAGTAGGACTTAATCCAACATGATGAAGATTAGGGCCTACTTTTTCTTCTATTAGACATAGAGTCTCTGGTCTAAATCCTGGGCCCTTGATCTATTTTGAGTTGAGTTTTGTGCAGGGTGAGAGATAGGGATTTAGTGTCATTTTGCTGCATATGGATTTCCAGTTTTCCCAGCACCATTTGTTGAAGAGGCTATCTTTTCTCCAATGTGTTTTTTGTGCACCATTGTCTGATATGAGAGAACTGTATTTATGTGGATTTGTCTCTGTGACTACTATTTTGTACTATTAGTCTACATGTCTATTTTAGTGTCAATACCATGCTGGTTTTGTTACTATAGCTTTGTATTATAGTGTAAGGTCTGTTACTGTGATGCCTACTGTTTCACTCTTCTTGCTAAAAATTACTTTAGCTATTCTGGGTCTCTAATTTTTCCAAATGAATTTTATGATTGCTTTTTCTATTTTTATAAGGAGTGACACTGGGGTTTTAATTGGGATCACATTGAATTTATATAGCACTTTGAGTAGTATGTCCATTTTGACAATATTAATTTTGCCTATCCAAGAGCGTGGGAGATCTTTCCACATTCTAAGGTTTTCTTCAATTTCTTTATTTAGTGTTCTGTAATTTTCATTGTAGAGGTCTTTAACCTGTTTTGTTAATTCCCCAATTTTTTTGAGGCTATTATAAATGGGGTAGTTTTCCTAATTTCCTTTCAGAGGATTTATCACTGATGTATAGAAATGAATTTGATTTACAGGTCTTGATTTTATATCCTGCTACTTTGCTGAATTCATTTATTAATTCTAGAAGTTTTCTGGTGGAATTTTTTTGGATCCTATAAATGTAGAATCATGTCATTGTCAAATAATAATATTTTGAGATCTTTTTTTCCTAATAATATCCCTTTAATTTCTACTGTCTATCTAATTGCTCTGGCTAGAGGTTTAAGGACTGTGTTGAATAGAAGTGGTGAAAGAGGGCATCCCTGTCTGGTCTCAGTTTTTACAGAGAATGCTTCCAACTTTTCTCCATTTAGAATGATGTTGGTGTTGAATTTAATATAGATAGCTTTTACAATATTGAGGTATATTCCTACTACCCTAGTTTTCTAGTGTTTTGAACATGAAAGCATGCTATATTTTATCAAATGCTTTTGCTACATCAATTGATATAATCATATGATTCTCATATTTGTGTCTATTGATGTGATGAATACATGTATTGATTTCCATATGTTGAACCAACCTTGCATCCCTAGAATGAACCCCACTTGATCTTGGAACACAATTTTTAAAATATGTTTTTATATGTGAATTGCCAGAATTTTAGTGAGAATTTTTCTATCTCTGTTCATCATGGATATTGGTCTGAAATTTTCTTTCCTTGGTGTCTCTGTCTGGTTTTGGTATCAGTATGATGCTAGCCTCAGAGAATGAGTTTGGAAGGGTTCCCTCCTTTTCTATTTTATGGACTAATTTGAGGAGTATTGGTATTAATTTGTAGGTCTTATAGTACTTGGCTGAGAATCCTTCTGGTCCTGGGCTTTTTATGGTTAGTAGCACATCTTCTTCTTCTTTTTCTTTTTTTTGTTTTGTTTAGGTTGCACTCCCCCCACACCCATTGGTTTAATGACAAACTGATGTTTTAAAGTTGTGGATGTCCTCCTGGTTCAGTTTGGGTAGATCATATGCCTCTAGAAATTTGTAGGTATCTTAGAGGTTTTCTGTTTCACTGGAGTATAAATTTTCAGATTAGTTTCTAATTGTCTTCTGTGTTTCAATAGTATTTCCTTTTCTTTCATGATATTTCCTTTTCATCATGAATTTTAGTAATTTGAATCTTCTTTTTGTTAGGGTGGCTAAGGGTTTGCAAATTTTATTTATTTTTTTCAAAGAACAAGCTTTTTGTTTTGTCAATTGTTTCAATTGTTTTGTTTCAATTTCATTGATTTCTGCCCTGATTTAATTATTTCCCATCTTCTACTTGGTGGTGATTTGTTCTTCTTTTTCTAGGGCTTCAGATGTAATGTCAGGTCGATTATTTGTTGACATTTTCTTTTTTTAATGAATAATTTGTTGACATTTTCTTCTTTTAATGAATAAGCTTAATGGAATGAACTTTCCTCTTAGCACTGCCTTCATAGTGTCCCGTAGATTTTGATATACTGTATCGGAGTTCTCATTCTAAGCTTTTTAAAAATCTCCTCCATGATGTCTTCATTATACATGAATCATTCAGTAGTACACTATTTAATATCCAGGTGTTGAAATAGCTTATATTTTTAATTTTATCATTGATATCTAATTTCATTCCATATGGCTAGATAGAATGCCGGGTACTATCTCTATTTTTTCATATTTGCTAAGACTTGCTTTGTGGCCTTACATATGGTCTATTTTGGAGAAGGATTCTTGGGCTGCTGAGAAAAAAGTGTATTTACTTGTTGATGCATGGAATATTCTATATATGTCTGTTAAATCTAAATTATTGATTGTGTTATTGAGTTCTATGGCTTCTTTTTTATTTTTTGTTTGGAAGACCTATCTATTGTGATGTGGTCTATTTGTTTCTTGAATTTGAGAAGGGTTTGTTTGATATACATAGATGCCCCATTGTTTGGGCATTGATATTTCAGGTTGTTATCTCCTTGATATATGATTCCCTTGAGTAGTATTAAATGTACTTCTTTATCCCTTTTTTACTAACTTTGGTTTGAAGTACACTTTGTCTGATATAAGGATGGAAACCCCTGCTTGTTTACGCAGTCCATGTGAGGTAATATGATTTTTTCCAATCTTTTCACCTTCAGTTTTTGGATGTCTTTCCTGTGAGATAAGCCTATTGAAGGCAGCATATTATTGGGTCTTTTTTTTTTTAAATGCAGTCTGCCAGTATATGTCT